GGGGTAATTCTCAACATGCCATTAGGTCGTAAATGGATCTGGTCTAGCAGAGGTGTCATGGTTGCCATGGGGACCAGGGGCCTGTTCGGCTTCCTGGGGTGTTACGCATTTCGGGGGAAGGGTCCATAGGTCCTCGTATGGCTTGTTAACTGAGGGGTGTTACAGAGTATTTGTTAAATATAGCTAACAAAATATATATTGTGTGTTTGATTGGTCCAGACGCTACATGTATCAAAGCATATTAAGTGCAAAGTTGACTGAAAGGAAGAAATTGGGTAGGAAAATGTGCACAAGCAGCAGGGATGACCGCAAGATTGAGAATACTGTCAAGCAAACACTTGGGAGAGCTTCACAAGCAGTGGACTGAAGCTGGAGTCAGTGCATCAAGAGTCTCACTTTATGCTTCCATTTGCTGACAACCTTTATGGAGATGCTGATTTCCTTTTCCAGCAGGACTTTAGCACCTGCCCACAGAGCCAAAACCACTTCCAATGATATGACTGTGCTTGATTGGCCAGCCAACATGCCTGACCTGAAGCCCATATGGAATCTATGGGATATTTTCAAGAAAAAGATGAGAAACAGTGGATCCGAGCTGAAGCTCAATAGTTTCTCAGCAGAGCCACAGGCTGATCGCTTCATGCACTCCTCACTGATGCTGGAGTTTGTGCTGAAGGAGCCCCGACCAAGTATTGAGTGCAGAAATCAACATACTTTAAAGAACTTGAACTTTTCTGTTTTGCAAATCCTTTTTTTGATTGATCTTAGGAAATATTCTAATATTTTGAGATACTGCATTTTTTACTTTCATGAGCTGTAAGCTCTACTCATCAAAATTAAAACAAAAAAAACTTTTGAAATGTTTTACTTTACATGTAATGAATCTAGAAAATATGTCTTTTTTTATGTATTAATATATTCCAGAATATTTTATATTAATCTGTGAGTAGGTCTACAGTAAAACGTTTTTGTATATAGATTTTTTTTAAATATATTTTTCAGATATTTTGTGTATATTTAATATTCAATGTATTTGATTATTTTAAAATATGAACATATTTAAAAGTATTTTAATACTGTGTATTAACTAATGTTAATATATTACAATATTTTTCTCAAATACTGAAAAAGTATATCAAACAAGAATATAAATCTAATAGTAACAGATCATGATGTTTGTTTCCCTTTAGGATATGTGGAGATGCTGTGGACGATCAACATGATCTTCATCCTCAGCATCCAGCTCAAAAAACCTCCATTCTTATATGAACCACCCATCATCACATTTACCATGGTAAAGTAAAGTCAAGTACGTTCCTACACTGTTTATCTTGTTTTTTCCCCCAGTTTCACTCCGAGCCGCAGTTGGTTTTCAAACACTTTATGTTAATGTCTTTCCTTGAGCGAGTCAAACACCACAGTAATGATTCACTGCTGAAAACAGATGTGATCAATTTAAATGAATGTAAAGCATATTGGGCCCGCGACAGACATAATACGAGTCTAACGAGAGCCAGATTAATGTTTTTCCCTGCAGCTGTCGCATGAGAAACAATGATGTCAGATATCAGCATTTGCTCTCGCTTTTGCATTAAACATTTCCAGAAGTCAGCAGTGATATATGTCACATGAGTGTTATATGATGGGAGGTTATGGAGGTCGGCTGATTCATTCATTAACAGCAGGTTCGTTTATTTGTCTTCAGATGGAGTGAATTGTGTTTCTGTGGGCTGGTCTGACGCCGCAAACATTATTTCTCCAGAACAACTACCTAAAATAGCTCAATTTTGTCTACAATATCACATGAATGTTACTGGAACAAAACAGAAGTATAACCCGTTTTTATATACATATGGTGCATGTTGTAATATCCAATATTTATGCTATTGATTTTAATATATTTTACATTTTTTAATTTCAATAGACTACTTTTAATGTAGTAGTTTATTATTTTCCTTTTTAATTCATTTTTCATTACTCTTTGAGTGGGAGAAGTTCATAAAATAAAAGGAAAGTTTGCATTGTATTTTAATACTTAATATTTATTTAATATATTTGATATATTAATATTCTCTGAAATATTTCACATTAGATATTTCAGGGAAATTGGGGATATATAAGGAAATATAAAATGGAATATAAAAAAAAAATAATAATAATATTACAGTAACAGTAAAAAGTATATATATATATATATATATATATTATTCATTAATATAATATTATATTCTGAATATATCTTACATTCTGAAATATTTTATAGTGGGATAGTGGGAAAAGAAAAATAGAGAATAAATTTGATATAAAATTAACATTTTAATAAAAATTGTAATCATTAAAAGTGTTAAAAGTAACCTATTAAGATGTTTTTTTTTCTGACACAGAAAAGCCTTCTTAGGATAGAATGAGTCTCTGTGTGAGAATGAGAAATTATTTGCATTGACATGGAAAGTTTTCTGTTGCTTTATTGTGCATTCGATTAAATATCTGAGATTAAGGAGCAAATGATGTTGTTCCCATGAAATACAGCAATATGAACGCGTGTTTGGCAGGAGCGCAGAAGTGAAATCCAGCCTTATCCGCAGTGTTCAGTCTGTGTGATGCCAGAGTTTAATCTCATTACAGAATAAAGCCATGACGGATATAAAAACACCAGCTGAACTCGAGGAAAAGACTTGTGTTTGTAAATATTGCAGAAAATTCTATTAAAATAGCCGTTTGCGATTGCAATTACCAGCCAACCTTCACACAACATCCTGTTACAGCAATTTACAGTGATTTTACCGCGGTCGCATGAGAAGCATCCGTGTGCAGGGAAATGCTTGCAGTTTTCCTCTTTATCTATACTTTTGCATATGTGAAAGTCTCTGCGTTTATTATTTCCTCCAAAATGTCACTTCAGTGGTTCAGTGGAGTCTGTTTTATCAAATTCATTCATTTTGGTCTCTATTATGTCTGTTTGAACAGTCTGACATCACCAGCACCCAACCAATGGCGTGAGTCTGGATAAGGACAGACTGTTTTTTGACCAATGGCTGTATTTGTTCATGGGAACAGATTTGGAGAAATGTGTCATTGCATCACTTGCTCAACAATGGATGCTCTGCAGTGAATGGGTGCCGTCAGAACGAGAGCTGATAAAAACATCACAATAATCCACAAGTAATCCACAGCACTCCAGTCCATCAGTTAACATCTGGAGAAGACAAAAGCTGTAACAAATCCAGCATTAAGACGTTTTTAACTCAAATATGAGTCCATAATCCATAATAACGCTTCCTCCAGTGAAAAAGTGTTCTGGTCTGAATAAGGAGAGAAATCTGCACAGATCAAAACAGTCCAAAACAGTTCTAAACAAATATGTGGCTGGATTTTGATGTGAGAGACAACAGGAGATGCACTTTTTCACTGGAGGAAGCGTTATTATGGATTATGGACTCCAAAACGTCTTGATGGATTTGTTTCAGCTTTTGTGTTCTCCAGATGTTAACTGATGGACAGGAGTGCTGTGGATTATTGTGATGTTTTTATCAGCTGTTTGCACCCATTCTCTTCCATTGGTGAGCAAGTGATGTAATGCTACATTTCTCCAAATCTTCATAATTCATCTACATATTGGATGACCTTAAGGTGAGCACATTCTCAGCACATTTAAATTTGGTGTACTGTTCCTTTAAGGCAGAAATGTGCGTTTCAGACATGTGCTTCATTCAGACGTGCTTCTAGTGAACACTAACGGGGTTGGAGGGGAAACGCATTCATTCCATGAATAGTTTTGTTTTTTTTAGTTGCTCAGAGCGTCTCTTTGAGAAACTTTAATGAGCAAAATTTACAGACGGGAGGAAACAGAACAAGGTTCAGCCTGTTTGAAACTGTGCAGGAGCTTTTAAAATACTGCATGCAGGAGATTTTATTTAAATGCCATTGTTTTTTTTTTTGTTTTTTTAATACATTTCATTTAGGATGGCAAAATAAAAAAGTATCTTTCGGGCCATTAATATTCCCAATTTTCCCAGTTTGCCTGATGCCACCTGAACAATTTTATATAGTAAACAAGGTTACTGACTTGTGAGTTCCCAACATGCATTGCAGCATAAATACATGATGCTTGTTGTAGGATTATTGCTTTACTGTTTCCTGATTTGAATGAAGCAGTTGTCATCACTGTTAGTTTCTTCTGGTGCGATGTTCAAAGCTCATCATTTACCATTTAATAATTTTTAAAAATTATCATTTATAAATTGAATTCTCATTGAATAAGAATCTATAGTTGCTTAGACAAGGATTCATTGGCTGAAATAAACACTTTTTAGTAAACAAACATATTCAGGTTAATCGAAGTAACTTTAAGGACAGTTGTTGTGAGAATCAAATTTCCCAGTGTATCACATTGCCTTTTATTTTATTCTATTTTTAAAATGTATTTTAATCTAATTTATTTGATTTTATTTGTTAGTTTGGAATTTTGACAGTTTTGTGTCTTGCATTATTTTAATTTCATTATTTTGTTATTTAAAAAAAATATTTGTTTTAATTTAATATAATTTATTATTTTATTTTATCTTTAAAAAATTTTTTTTTTACAGTTTTGTGACTAGCATTTATTTTATTTTTTATTTTTTTTAATTCAGTATGGTTTACTTAAATGTCTTATTTTAATTTTATTTTTCAGTAGTTTTTTGTGTCTAGCACTAAATGTGATTGATTGTTGAGTTTAGGTCAGTTTTTCCAGCTGATCTGTCGGGCGATACACTGGGATTGCGTTTCCTCTGGCAGATCTTATATCTTTGAAAGCAATTGTGGTGTAAAAACTATTCCAGTTATGGATCTTTACTGCCTTCAGTACCGTGTAGTGGCATGCTTGATCGTAAAAATATGTTGCGATAATGGTATGCAAAAGTTTTCCAATACGTTGCCATTGCCCCTTTTGTCCATAAAACCCCAAATTTATTGCAAATATTATTGGACCAACATTTCTAGGTGATTATTATTACAGGCTGTAATGGCAGAATCATAAAATTAGTTGTTTTACAGGGTCATGAACCTCATGAGTCCAAAGAGAACAAACCGCTCCACCTAAAACACACTCGTCTGTGCAGTTCAGCAGGATCCTAGTGAACACTGCATCCTCCAGCACTAAACATAAATTACACAATCTGCATTCACACGCTCATCTGAGGAGGAATCTCTGTGTTCTGAATGAACTCTGAAGGGTTTATGTATTTCTGTTCCCTTTCAGTCGGTCACTCCGAGTCACGTCGGTGACCGACGAATTGAGAGAGACCAATCTACTTCGAGTGTAAACTAAACGAACCAATGCACATTGGCATGCGATAATTGCATTACATAAGTAGGCAGCAGGTGCAACGCATATTCAGCTTTTCGCTTCGGAGCTGAGCGGTTCTATTGTTCTGCTCTGACTTTCGTCTGAAGAGGAGTATTCTGACGAGTCAACGAGCGCTCTGGGGAAGAGGCTTCTTCAACGCTGGTGTTGGTGTGACGGCGCTGCAGCAGTGGTTCCCTTGCGCACTTCAGCACTTCTCAAAGAGCTACTTTCCCTAAAAGACCAAGACACGGGTGTGACGTTGCATCTTTTTAAAGATGTCATTCCACCCGTCTGTTTCTGGATGCGGTCGTTACCTGGCACCGGATGACAGTCACGATCGTTGCATCACGTGTTTGGGCCTTGAACACGCTGAGGCAGCCTTCATGGATGAGTCATGTCGTTATTGTGGTGGTATGACCATCGTGGCATTGCAGCTGAGACTCCAATACATCAAAAGAGGTGGAGTCCCCTTACCTATGCCAAAAATCTCGTCGCTCTTCTATTCCGCAGAGGAGGGCTACTTCGGTGAATAGTCAGGGTAGCCTGAGGGTTACAGTGGGGGCAAACCCGCCGAGTGAATCTCCGTGGGCCCCCCACTCCTCTAGCATGCCACAAGCTGTGGAGCTGCCGGGTGAACGTGTCGGTTCCTCGTACGGGGACGCTGAGGCAGCCTTCATGGATGAGTCATGTCGTTATTGTGGTGGTATGACCATCGTGGCATTGCAGCTGAGACTCCAATACATCAAAAGAGGTGGAGTCCCCTTACCTATGCCAAAAATCTCGTCGCTCTTCTATTCCGCAGAGGAGGGCTACTTCGGTGAATAGTCAGGGTAGCCTGAGGGTTACAGTGGGGGCAAACCCGGCGAGTGAATCTCCGTGGGCCCCCCACTCCTCTAGCATGCCACAAGCTGTGGAGCTGCCGGATGAACGTGTCGGTTCCTCGTACGGGGGTCATGCCATTTAATTTG